GTGACAGAGGTCTGACTGAACCATGCCACCAAACACCAAACAGCTTAAACTGAAGTTTCAGGCAGAAAACGCTCAGATTTATTTGTTTTACTTACATTTAAAATGCAAAAAAGATCAAATATAACAAAATAAAATCAGATTAAATTAACATTTAAAGCTGTGTCATATTAGTTTATAGCATCAAAAACAAATTTATTAATGGAGGAATTAAAAATAATTTTTTAACTCTCTCGTGAGATCAAAACTCAGCATCTGTGTGGTGAACGTACTTCATTCCACCGTAGAACGGATCGTTGAAGTCATTAACCACTCGGGCTGCGTACCAGGAAGCAGCTACCATGCAGCAAAGACCTGCAGACACAAGCAAAGTATTACAGCCTCACTTCCTTTCTTCTTTTTCCACCACCTGTGAGTGCACTCGCAGCATCGCATCACCAGTTCTTACTAAAGTTTCACTTGACTTTTGTTTCGTTTCCACCTCACAGCATGCATTAGTTTGTACTTTCAATGTCTTTTTATTCTTTTTATACCTCTGACTCAACACTTCCTACAAATATAACATTCAATAAACACTCAGTTTATTGGAGGCTCTTCACTTTGCCATATGGACGACTGTAAGCTGACAGTTCCTACGTTTAATTGGTGTTATATAAAAAAACACAAACGTGAATCAATAAACTTTAACTACACAAGAGAGGAAAAAGAGGAAGGAGCTTGGCTTTAATCCTGGGAGAGAACCAAGCATGAAAACATCATCTCATGCTGCAAAAACATTTGTGGTTTAACCCTACACGGGGATCGTATGAGGGTGTCTGTGTTACTCAAGAGGATCCTTTTTATTTTGGTGCCTTTTCTTAATGCATTATCTAATAAACAGCATGGTGCACTTAGTTATACTGACAGGTCATCCGAAAAGTCTGTGCTCCAGTTTTACTGAGTAAAACTCCAGGATCTAACTTGTGTAACTGCAAATATCTGCTCAGTTGAGAACAACATGGAGAGAAATGCTCCAGGTTTGCAGACTGTGCAAACACGTCATGTCAGTTTTGCTCATGCAGAAGTTTGTAATCATTTCTTTGATATATCTGTAAATTCATTCAGTAAACAAATGAAGAAACTTCACTGAAACAAAAGAAAGAAGAACAAAAAACGTAACTTCCAACTTCCAGCATCTGTAATACATCAATATATAATAATCCACAATCACTCTGTTGAGCTTGAAAAGAAAAACACTGAATGCAAAAATATCCAAATATCTAAAACTTATGACAGTATTTTGTATTTTGTAGTAAATCTTTACTGAGTGTCTTAATAGAAAATCAATGAACCTTTTCTTGACTTCAGACAAAGTTTTCTGTTTCAGTGTTTGCAGCGTGTGGAGTGACAGAGATGAACCGTCACACTCACCGGCGAGGATGCTCAGGATTCCTCCAATGGTGGCGATCTTGGCCTTGGATTGTTGAGTGGATGAGCCGATCTTGATGCACTTGAGTCCAAGCAGAGCGACGATCATGGAGCCGAGGCCGAGCAGCAGACAGATGATCATCAGGGCACGACAGGCCTGTACGTGGACTGCAGACGCAGAAAGAAGTCGTTAATTATTATTTACATGCTTACTCGGGGTTTGTGAGTAATTCTGTTCTTCACATAGAAACAGAGCCTTTTGTGTAAACACAGAGAAACTGAGCACTTGACGGGAACTTTTTCAGTGACAGGTTTGTCCTTTGAGTTCTTTCTGTTCATCCCCCTGTTATTACCTGTTGTACTGTGCGACAAAACCTGATCCAGACTCGTTGGAATCAATAAATCATTGATTCTGAAACCTGTTTTTTTTATTTTATATGTGAACATAGTTTTCATGCAAAACAAAGTCGACCTAAGAGCAGACAAAAAGGTTGATGTGGCTGCCTTTCAGTCAAAACCTCAGACCTGGCAACCAGAAGCGTGAGGCGAGCTGTAATCAAACTTTAAATGTCAAAAAGAACGAAAAATACTCCAGCCGGTGACATAAATCCCAGTAAAACCAGTCCTAACTTCCCATGACTCTTTATTTTAAATGTTATATAAAACAAACGGGGAAATAACTACCTGTGCAAAGGTAAAAATATAAATATAAATATGTAACCACCTGTTACTGTAAAACTCATGTTTACATCTTTATTAAACTTTTATTAAAAATACACAAAAGCTGATCTGTTTAAGGAAAAGGAGGAACTGGCTGTAACGTTAGGTGTGTATCTGTGTGTTTTACAGCTGGTGCAGTCATTTATTAACCTGATGACCTCTGCTAATCATTAGAAACAGCTACCACACCTCTTTATGAGCTTCAGGGAATTTCAGGAGCAATGGTGGGTAAGCTGGTAGGAGTCATACCGAGTAATGATGATGAGTTTGGTTTCAGGTATATAAATATGACACTAAGCTTTCTAAAGAAGTTCAAAACTCTCAAAAATTGTAACTTTGAATCTTTTATACTGGAGTTTTTCATTAGAGCCTCAATTGCAGGAGGAAACCTGTCATCTCGTTACGTCTTTATCACTGTAGGAAAAAGTGTCGAGAGATTTGATGAGGTTTAAAATACAAAAAACATCAAAAATAAGCCTCCAGCCAACTGAGCTGTTTGTTTGGGGTTTTTATCTTCTCTGAGAAGTTTCTTTGTTTCAACAGAGAAAACTCAAAATGGCGTCCAAAAAATATCCTTGTATAACAATTACTGAGAAAAAGTCAACCTAACACAATCTAATAATAACCTTTATTGATCAAGCTAAGATTTTTCTGAAGATTTGGCAACTTTATAACAAACATTTTAACAAGTATCTATTTTCATTTTTACTTCAGGCGGGAAACATCCGGCTGTGAAACCGTCAGCAACCTTTGGACGACAAATTCTGAAATGCTGCCACGCGACATGCTGGCCTATTTTCTAAACAACCAGTATGACAAGAGCTTTACAAAGATACGACACCTTTATAGCTTTATGAGATGGAAACTAAACTGTTTGTCTGGTGGGGCCTAAAAGGTCTGAACACATCCTGTTTCCTGGGTTCTGCTTTTCATAGACATTAATGCTGCTTTTTAAAGCAAATATAATGATGTCATAAAATAACATTAATTTGTTATCAGGTTAGATCAGAGTGTCTGACATCAACTCTCAGCTCGAGATAAGTAACAGGAGGACTTGAGTGTCTGGTCTTACCGGGGAGGGCCAGCATCGATTCAAAGTCCCGGCATTCGGCGATTCCCGCGCTGTTCTC